TGAGTAAATTTCGACTCTCATGTGGGAAAGGATGAAGATAATAAAATGATAACTGAAACCTGAACACTGACCCCCAACACACCTCCGTACAATGATCCTTGACCAAGAAGTGAAGTGGGGGGGGACAATTGAAGATGAAGAAAATGGAAAGAAAAACAGAAGTATTTTCCTATTACAATGAATTATTTGATAAACGTGATTTTTTTTTCTTTTTAATGGCTAATTTTCGCCGGCTGAAATCTGAAATATATATATATATATATATATATATATATATATATATATATATATATATATATATATTTAAACAACTATCAATGAGAATAACGGTCATCCACCAACGCGTTTCGTCCACCTGTCGACTTTATCAAAGAAAATATCTATCAATGTTCCCGGTCGTAGAATCAAGACATTCTCAGTACTGAGGAAGGTTCACTCTGATTTTCTGTTTAGGACTTAATGTAATTGCCTCTAAAATCTTAAAGCGAAAATCAAAGTGAGCCTTCCTCAGGACTGTTACCTACGATCTTCAAAAAATCAAATTCAATGACAATCGCCATCCACTATCTTCCTGAATCATGTTCTTTTATTGTCCTTTCTCCTCACTAAATCTTATCATTCTCTTTCCCAGTAACCCCTTGCGTCTTAGTGGCATTAACGCCTTGCTTGGGACGAAATTATCAAAAAAAAAGAAGATTTTCTTTAATATAGAATTGCATCATTTTTACTATTCGTTTCTTTTCCATTATGAGTGAGAAGGAAACTCAGTTTATGCCAGATGAGGTTCGAACATGACTCCTCTATCCCATTTTCTCTGATGCCTCACCGTTTAAACACCAGCATGAGCATTTTTAGAATCTTTGAACTGACATATAGGGAGAGGTAGGTTCAAGCCTTTACCGAAGATACTAATATCATTAAGTGATATACCGAGTGTAACAGCAAAATTGTCGAATTGTTAGATTAAGCTTTGAATCGTTGTGTCTTAGAAATGATTAAAGATATCTTAGTGGAATTCACCGAGGTTTTTATAACACTATTGGTCTCTACTTTGAGCAAAAAGAATATATAATTACTCTCCAAGATTAACTTGAGTTGGATCTTTTCTAATTGATCACTTTATCTCTAAGATGAAATGATGATCCCTCTTCCTGTTGTGACCTGATCCAGTTTTCCTCCCTACTGTTCCCTCTTTTTAATACACCGTTCCCTAGATGCTTTTTGAATGGATTTTGAAGATGGAAGCCAGAGTATGAATGTTGGTACCATTACTGAAGACATTAATGATTTTTTCCTCTTACTATTGCTCCTTTGGGAAGACGGTGAAACTGACACAAAACTATTTTAACCTGTCCTCTTTCTAGCTAAATAACGCAAAGGGTTTTTCAGTGAATCACACGAAAAATGGTGTCAAGATGGCTAACCGTCTTATCTGAAAACCTGGAAAAAAGAAACACAATTAGTTTAGTGTTTTTTTAGATATTAAACATTTTGTGCGATGGACAAGTATGCTGTTAGACTATTTGGACAATTTTGCTGTTACACTCGATAGTTTTTAAGTTCACCCAATACGAGGCTCGGGCGGGGTTAAAACACTTTGAACACGTGTGTCTCCGAAGCCTTGAATTTGGTGAACTTTAGTGTATAAATACATCAAAGCTCGAATTTCACACTCGGTCCGCCACCAACTCTGCACCTCCAATTTGTACCAATGTAAATTAGTTTAAAAATAAAACTATCGCCCCCAGCACACTAGTGTATCTCACAGGAATACACTTCCTTATTTCATTATATAAACCGCCCTGTCGGCTGGGGCGTCAGAATATGCCGACTGCACCCCAATGAGGCGTCCTGGGTATGACGTTAAACGACATCCGCCTCCTGGGTATGATGTTAAACGACATCCGCGTCCTGGGTATGACGTTAAACGATATCCGCGTCCTGGGTATGACGTTAAACGATATCCGCGTCCTGGTTATGACGTTAAACGACATCCGCCTCCTGGGTATGACGTTAAACGACATCCGCGTCCTGGGTAAGACGTTAAACGACATCCGCGTCCTGGGTATGACGTTAAACGACATCCGCCTTCTGGGTATGACGTTACGATCCGCGTCCTTGGTGTATGACGTTAAACGACATCCGCGTCCTGGGTAAGACGTTAAACGACATCCGCGTGACGACGTTAAACGACATCCGCGTCCTGGGTATGACGTTAAACGACATCCGCGTGACGTTAAACGACATCCGCGTCCTGGGTATGACGTTAAAAACGACATCCGCGTCCTGTTAGACGTTAAATGATGACGTTAAACGACATCCGCGTCCTGGGTACGTTAAACGAGATTAAAAGACGTTAAACGACATCCGCGTCCTGGGTAAGACGTTAAACGACATCCGCGTCCTGGGTATGACGTTAAACGACATTAAACGGTATGACGTTAAACGAGATCCGCGTCCTGGTATGACGTTAAACGACATCCGCCTCCTGGGTATGACGTTAAACGACATCCGCATCCTGGGTAAGACGTTAAACGACATCCGCGTCCTGGGTATGACGTTAAACGACATCCGCGTCCTGGGTAAGACGTTAAACGACATCCGCGTCCTGGGTATGACGTTAAACGACATCCGCGTCCTGGGTATGACGTTAAACGACATCCGATAGGAAGGCCTCAGATCAGAAGGTTCTGAGTAGCTTGGAACCACGTCTTAATTGCTGGTGTTCTCAGTTTCACCTTGATTTGGGGTGGTAGCACCTGTTAGGGTCCCAGCTATGAGCAAGTAGCTAACCCCCGAACTGGCCTCAAAATGCTATGAAAGTGTAAAAATAGGTTTTAATACCAGCAATACATATTTGGGAAAAAATTATTACCAGCAATACATTTTTGAAAAGATAGAATAGTACTAGCAATAAAAATCTTGTTGGCATTAAATAACCCATTGAGGTTGATATGCCATAAAACAAAACAAACCAAACCAAAGCATTATATAAAAAGCGTTGTCACTTTTTTGCCTGCTAAAGAAAACAAAAACTGGCTCATTTTATGCACAGAGACACAAAATGAGCTCTACTGTGTTAGTGTGTTCGCTAAAGGGAGTCAACTTCTACGGGTAATATCATTATTACTATTTATACTGCTACTAATAATGAAATCTGTGTCGTTTCTATATCGTTCTAAAATGGCTTGAAAATATGAATAGTTGTAGAAAATCGTAAGAAAAACAAATTTCGTTCGATATATGAGTTGTTTTGCTTCTGTAATATATTCAGGGTGTATCAAAAATACTTTGGGTCGGATTTTTCACCCCAAATATGTTTATATGGACTTGTATCCTTGTTTAGTGTGAGGAACCCTCCCCCGAAGTTTGTAAAAGTATTTTGATACACCCTGTATGTGTGTGTGATCGTTTGTGTCAATGTGTGTTTGCAAGTGTGTAATTTATCCATACGAAAATCATTCTGTCATATTTGATGGGTATCATGCTAATTTTATTGATATGACTGACGGCTGTAAACAGTGTCTGTGTTATTCAAAAGTTTATGTTTGTTTTAATGATCTGTCAGTGACTATCTATATTTAAAGTTTTTTTTTTCATCAGATTTTACTTTTTATTTTATTTTTTGCTCACTGAGGAATTTTATCTAAAAAGAAAAAAATTATCCCCTTTTCCTTGCAGCCGTCTGATTTATCTTATTTATTCGCACCTCGGGTGGTTGGTAGGTGGGTTCGTCAAGTGCAGATCGAATGAGGTCTTAAAAGATTCACGAGTTTCTTTTCTTTCCTCTTTTCTTTCTTTCATTTTTTTTTTTTTGTTGCTTCTTTTCCATCTTTCTTTTTATTTTATCTTCTGCTTTCTCCCTTTTTTTTTCTTGTGTCAATATTTCTTCGTTTTATTTCTATTTTTCTTTCTACTTCTCTTTTATTCTTTCTTTCTTTCTTTTTTCTATTTTTCTTCCTTTTTTTCGTCATCTGGCTTTTTATTTCGATCTAGTTTTCTTTTCTTTTTTATCTTTCCTTCTTTCCTTTGTTTTTTTTAATTTTTCTTTCTATTTTCATTATTTTCTTTCTTCTGTCATCTGTCTTTTGTCTTCCTTTTTATCTTTCTTTTCCATTCATCTTTCATTCTTTTTGTATTTTTAAGATTTCTTTCTTTCTATCTATTTTCTTCCGTTCTTTCTTTTTCCTTCTTTCCTTCATATATCTTCCTTTCTTTTTATTCTTGGCTTTCTATTTGGCTTTTTTTTCTTTTTTCATTCCTACTTTCTTTCTTCAGTCGTTTGGCTTTTGTCTTTCTATTTATCTTTCTTTTTCATTTATATTTCCTTCTTTCTTTTGTCTTTTTTTATTTTTTCTTTCTATTTATCTTTCTTTCTTTGTATTCATTTGCTTCCTTTCTTTCATTTTTCCTTCTTTTCTTTATCTTCCTTTTTTTTATTCTCTTCTTGCTATTTAGTTATCTTCCTTTTTTTTCTTCTTGTGTCTTCGTTTTTTCATTCTATTTATTTTTTATTTTTTTCTATTTATCTTTCTTTCTTTTTACTTTCTATTTATCTTTCGTTTTTATTCTATTTTTCTTTTATATTTCCTTTCTTTAATTTCTTTCTTTCCTTGTCTTTTTTCATTTTTTTCTTTCTGCTTTCCTTTTTTTTTTTCTTTCTTTCTATTTATTTTTCTGTTCAACTTTTCCTTTTTTCCTTTTTTTCTTTCTTTCTCATTCATTTATTATAATTCCGTCAATTTTAGAGTACATCTCAATGCCACAAATCTGCGGTATATTGTAAGGCAAAAACTCACGAATCTTCCACAAAAGATGGCTAACTATTACTTCAGTAGTGAAAACGTAAAATATTTAAGTTTTAAGGCTGATAGTGATTTCCAAGCGTAGCTTAGATGTGGCACAAGGCCGAAAGTAGAGGGTACCCAGAAGTTTCAAGGCTAACATAAAGCTGACATAATATTGGTGTAACAGTGAGAATTACACTCACTACGTTAGTAATGGTCGCATTTCATTTTGGTGTTTTTCTCATTTGGACTGAGGAAGCTATTCATTCATTCATTCTTTTCTTCTTAACATTTTTCTCTTTCATTTTTTCCTTCATTTTCTTATTTCTTTGTATTTTTTTTATTTTCTTTATGCAGTATCTTTCCTTATCTTACTTCTTTGAGTTTCTGCTTTTTTCTTCTATCTATCTATCTATCTATCTATCTATCTATCTATCTATCTATCTATCTATCTATCTTCCTTCCTTCCTTACCTACCTTCATTCCTTCCTTTTGTCTATCTTCTTTCTCCCTTCCTTCCTTTCTTGGCTTTTTTTCTTTTCTGTCTTGTTTCTCTCCTTTTCCCTTTCTTCTTTTTCATTCCTTCGTTCGTTATTTCCTTCTTTCCTTCCTTCTTTATTTCTATATCCTTCCTCCCTTCCTTCCATCTTTCCTTTTTCAATCTTCTTCCTCCCCTCCTTCGTTTCTTGGTTTTTTTCCTTTCTACCTTGTTTCTATCCTTTTCCTTCCTTCCTTCCTTCCTTCCTTCCTTCCTTCCTTCCTTCCTTGGTTTTTTCCCTTCTACTTTGTTTCTATCCTTTTTTTTCCTTCCTGCATTCCTTCCTTCTTTTTTTCTATCTTCTTCCTCCCTCCCTTCCTTCCTTTCTTGGTATTTTCTTTTCTACCTTGTTTCTATCCTTTTCCTTCCTTTCTTTGCTTCCTTTGTTTTTCTATCTTCTTCCCCCATTCCTTCCTTCCTTTGTTTTTTTCCCTTCTACCTTGTTTCTGTCTTTTATCTTCCTTTCTTTTTTTCTATCCGTTTCTTTCTTTCCTTCCACCCAGTGTTACTCGCTTTTTATATTTCAACCCCTCTCGTCGTTCTTGGCAATATTTACAATAAATGATGCAAAATCCACAAAATCTGAAAACTTCGCAGATGATTTTGCGGATGCAAAAAGAAAAAAAAACCTGGCTATGAATCTTTTTTTTATCATTACTTTGTCAGCTACAAACATCAGGAAACACCCTTAAGGAATTTCGTTTGTAAGCATTTCGCATTCTTGGCCTGTTCATCAACACTCGTTTCCAAAATGCACACACAAACACACATCTTATAATAAAAATAACGATAATACGTGAACATTTCAAGGTGTTTCTATCTAAATTTTCTGATCTATCATAATATTTAATATTTAAATGGAGAAATAAGCTCATGACAATGACAACAAAATATCTATGGAAATTACAGTTTTATGTGTCGTGTCCCTTCAGGACGTAGGCGACCATGGCTCTCCACTTCCCCCTATCGCTCAATAAGTATTTTTTTTTAAGCATTTCACCCCACGCAAGGCGGGAAGCCACTAGGACGCAAGGGGTTACAGAAAATTTGGAGCAAGATCAGATAGGAGTGATAAAAGAAAGGATGAGGGTAGTGGATAGATCAAGGCAATTGGAGATGTCGATTGACATTACACTTGAATAGCTGGAGATTATAGCTCACAGGGAAACAGGAATAGGAAAGGGAATTCCGCAGGTGAGAGGTGCGAGACATGAAGCTATTAGAGTGGAAGAGACGGCTACATTTAGGAGTTTCGACAGTGAAGGGGTGAGAGCGGGATGCCAGCCTCGTAAGGCGCTGGAACTCATGACGTCTGGGAACCAGCGAATGCAGCTCCTCGGAGCAATTTCCATGAAAGTATTTGTAGAACAGACAGAGGGAGGCGACGGCGCGTCTGTGAGAAAGTGACTGTAGACGAGACGCCAGGGCAGGGCCAACTTATATTGCATATCCGCCTCTGGAGCCTATCAAGAACCCCGAGGCAAACAGAAGGGGCACCAGACCATATATGGCAGCAATACTCCATGCAAGGGCGAATTGTTGATTTGTAGATCTGGAGGATCGACTCCGGGGAGAAAAACTTCCTGGCGCGGCTCAGGGAGCCAACTTTCCTTGCGGTGGGCGAGGCAATTGACTCAATGCATTTATTCCATCTCAGGTCAGCAGTCAACGTGAGACCGAGAAGCCGCAGTGAGTTGCTCTCGAGAAGTTGAGCGTCAGACATTCTAATGGAGGGAAGGGAAGTATCTCTGTGGTGATTAATAGAGAGCAGTTTTGTCTTAGAAGCGTTGAAGTTGACCAGCCAATTCATGCCCCAGTTCACAATCGATTGGAGGTCCTTTTCGAGACGCACGGCAAGGTGAGTTTTGTCCCTTTGCTACTTCCCTCATGCCCTGTTCTGTCATCCAGTTGCTCAAACCCGCCAGGTATGTCATGCATTGCTTTCCTTTGTCTCTCTTTCCCTCTATTTGACCTGTGAGTATCACGCTCTCCAGGCCCTTCTTTCTCATTATGACCCCCAGAAATTTCAGCTGTCTTTTTCGGATATTAAGTATAAGCTTCCTCCTTGTTTGCATCCTCTCCAAAACCTCATCGTTGCTCACATGCTCGGTCCATAATATCCTTAGCATCCTTCTGTAGAACCATACCTCCATTGCCTCGAGTCTCTTCTTTTCTCATTACGGGTCCCAGAAATTTCATCTGCCTTTTCCTGATGTTAAGATAAGCTTCCTTCTTGTTTGCATCCTCTCCAAAATCTCATTGCCTATACACGCATTCCATGATATCCTTATATCCTTTTAAGAACCATCCTTTGCATCGATAGAACCATAATATGTCCATTTAAGATTATTTTGTCATTATAATAATTCTTCTTCATCTTTGAGGAGACCGTCCAACATTCGCTGCCATTTTTTCTTCATCTTGAAGACCGAAAAGATGTCACGTAGCAGTTCAGTACACTTTTCTTTGTTATCAACGAAACCCTCCTGTCTTGTAATACTCTGCCCAGCTTTTGGAATGTGTCCTTGGCCATCCCAATACGCCTACGGATCTCAGTGTCGCACTTACCGTCCTCTGTCAAAACACTTCCCAGATATTTAAACTTCCGCACCTGTTTTTTTTAGAGTCCCCTGACCTGCAAATTGCATTTCATATCATCCTTTTTTGATGACCATGCATTCTGTCTTCTTGTAGTTTATGCTTAGTCCCTTCTTCTTGCTCTCCTTTGATAACTTCTGTAGGAGGTTTTGTTATTTCTTTTCCGTGTCTGCTACCAGCACTGTATTATTTACGTATCTTAAGATTGTGGCCGCCGATGCTGAATCATGGTAGGATTTCCAATTTTCTCAGAATTGCCTCGCTATCATCTACGTTCTTCAAATATTTCAATGCAGAGTCAATCCTTATATTCTGTCTGCTTAAATCTTACGCCTACGGATCTCAGTGTCGCACTTACCGTCTTCTGTCAAAACACTTCCCAGATATTTAATCTCCTGCACCTGGTTGATTTTAGTGTCCCAGAGCTACAAATCGCATTTCTGGCTCATCCTTTTACCTATGACCATGAATTCTGTCTTGTAGTTCACGCTTAGTCCCTTCTTCACGCTCTCCTTCGGTACCTTCTGTAAGAGGTTTTGTAATTCATTTTCCTTGTCTGCTATCAGTACTGTGTCATCTGTGTATCTTCTGTTGTTACAACTTTGGCCGCCAGTGATACACACTTCAATTGCAGTTCTCAAGTAATCAACATTCCTACCCAGTCATGTTAACTTATTGCTTCGAACAACAAATCTCTATCCACAATAATGTACGCAAGTACAATAAAGTCCCTTCTCTCTTTTTGGCTGCATAATATCACGTTGAAACAGAGTTTTCGTACGGTTACTGGTGTTAAGCAACGTTGAGCCTGGTCAGTACCTAGATGAATGAACGCTTGGGAATACCAAGAGCTGTAAGCTTGGATGTGCGGGTGGTGTAACTGGAGATAAGCAACGTCGAGTCTGGTCAGTAGCTAGATGGGTTTATTTTTTAAATACCAGGTGCTGTTTTTTTGGATGTCCGGTGGTGTAACGAATAATGGCTCGGAATTGTTAATCGGAGAGCTAAATTAAATCTCGTATGGTCACTGAAGATAAGCAACGTTGAGTCTGGTCAGTACCTAGATGAAGACCGCCCGGGAACACCAAGGGATATAAGCTTGGATGTGCGGGTGGTGTAATGGATAATGGCTCGGAATTGTTAATGGAGGAGCCGAGTTCCAATTCCCGTCGGGTTCGTCATATTCACTTACGCTCAAATACCCTGGGGGAGGGCATGAATTCACCTCCTCTCTCCCCAGCTATGAGTTAATTAGTAGAACTTGTATTAATAAATCGCTATTATCTCGAAAAAAATTCTTACAATCTAAAAATATTTTTTTGCTTTAAATGTCTTGTAAATGGTTGATAAGCCGTAAAAAATCAATTTTGGTTGAATAATAATATCGGCAATCAACGACAGAGAATGTATGGCCATAAGCAAAAAGAAAATCTCAAGGAGTGAACTATGATCGGCCATTTTATAATCAAACAAGCACAAAAATTTAATATCTCGGAAGTTTTTTAACAGAGGACAGAAAATGTGACCCCAAAATCCAAAATCGAATTGGAATAGCAAAAGGTGCTTTCCAAAAGCTAAGCAAAGTATCAAGAAACGGGAAAATCTCGAAGGAAACAGAGAAAAGCGTGAGTAAACACAGGCGATCCCATTATTGAATTAAGTAGAGCACGTGACTATAAAGCATATATGTGAGGTAGCGTATGTCTAATTGACCACATTTCTACTCTATCCTCTATACTATACGGATCTGCATTTCTAGTCTATCCTCTATTACTCTATGGACCGCTATTCTCTACTCTATTCACGATACTATTTCTCTATTCGGATCAATACGGTCGTTACTATTCGAGTGAGTATAATCGAACTACTAAGTACTATTAGTGCAAGTGTTATCCGAAAACGTCTGACACCAGGATTGTTCAACGGCGATACTATAGTTGTATCTGCGATTACAAAGTCTCTACTACAACGAGCATTATGAAAGTGACAACGAGTATTCGTTGGCATTACAAAATATGTAATGTCAGTCTTCCTATATGGCAATGAATGCGGTACAATCTCCTCACAGATGGAGAAAAGATTTGAGGCAACAGGAGGATGTTGAGAATACCATGGACTAAACATGTGAGTAACGAGGAAGATTTTAAGAAAAAGAACGCTTGTATTTAGATTCAGAAAGAGAAAGTTGAAATTTCAATGACATATAATGAGAGAAGAGGGCTTGGAGAATTCGGCACTCACAAGATACATTGAAGACAAGAGAGAGAGGGGGAAAAACTAGTTACCTTGCTAACGAGCTTGAGTAAATACATGGTAGAACAGGGGATGTGAGAGGGATGGTGAAAAGGCAAACTTTACTAACAGCTACAAATAATAGAAAATCGTGGAGAGCCATAATCGGTCACGTTCTTAAGGGTCACAACATAGAAGAAGAACCTAATTCTTTATTTGATAAAGTGTAAATCTAACATGATGACCATTACTTCAATGGGTTAACTTCGCTTAAACAACAAGAATCCTATTATAGTTCTAATTGTCTCTGTCTTCATTAGTTAGTTTGCATGACCGATACGCCCTGCCAATACCACACAAATAATGGACTATTCCATTTTGACAGCGTGAAAACACGGGAAAGACATATCAGAGTGGTTTCAATGAGAAAATGAAAGATAGAAAGAAAAAAAAAGAATGAAAGAAGTGAAAAAGGAAGAAAGGATTATATAACGTTTGTTTCAGAGAAATTTCAATTTCAAATCTTTTCATTTGTACCCCCTTACTTCTTATAATATTGACAAGCATTCATATTTATGCTTGTTCACTATTTACATTATTCGGACTATTGTCCTCATCTTTGTCGCCATATTTATCACAACGTTTCGGCCGTTGTACGCTCCGGCCTTCTTCAGGTGGTTGGGATGTCGAACTTAACCCTTTATTTCGCTCATTGGGGTAGACTGTCCTAGTTCC